AGCCCTGGTCCGGGAAGATCCCACATGCCGCGGAGCAACTAAGGCCGTGTGCCACAACTACTGAGCCTGTGCTCTCTAGCCCGCGAGCTACAACTACCGAGCCCGCGAGCCACAACTACTGAAGCCCACGTGCCTAGAGGCCATGCTCTGCAACAAGAGAAGCCACTGCAATAAGAAGTCCACGCACCGCAACGAAGAGTAGCCTCTGCTCGCTGCAACTAGAGAAAGCCTGGGCGCAGCAACGAAGACCCAACGCAGCCAAAAAATAAATAAAATTTTTAATAAATAAATAAATATTAAATAAATAAATAATTTCAACTTACAAAGAGTTGCAAGAATAATACAAAAAACTGGATACCCTTGCCCAGATTCACCACCAACACTGTGACACATTTATTGCCCCCATTTCATACAAACATATTGGAATTTTTTTCTGAATTGTGTGGCCTCACCTTTATCTGTATGATCTGCTGGTATTCCAATCAAGATTTGATTTGCAAAAGGGGCTCTTCTGCTTTCTACTGAAAGAAGCTGGAGAAATACTGCTCTTGTCCAGAATGTGGACCATCATCTCTGGGACCTTAGCCCTTTGTGCTGAACACTGACTGGATGAAGACTTTGAAGAGAAAACCATTCTCGGGATCAATGTGTTTGAAAACAACTTTGGGCTTAAAAATGAGAGATGGGCAAAAGTGTAACAAAAACCAGGTTCTTAAAAAAAAAGAAACCCTGAAGAAATTTAAATATTGTACTTTAAAAACTGGTAAGAATCAATTACGTCAAAATTACCTTAATTCAGAAGTGCTTCTGGTCTGGTCTCCAAAACATGTAAAATTGTCTGCAACAGAGAAAAGGCTGTATTTGCATTGATTCAGGTTGTGAGGCACAATATTCCATACATTTTAAGAAGCACATAATTCCGCCCCTTCCCCATCACCATTTCTTGCCCCCAGATCACTTTACTTATTAGTACTTTGTATTAACTTAGTGGTAAGTTTTTCAGTGTGGAAAAGAAGAAATCTGATCTCAGTTTCTTTAAAAAAAAAAAAAAGAAAAGAAAAATCCTTAGAAATGCCTCAGGGAAAATATCTTGAATTAAACTGAAAAGCATCAGGGGGAATGGGTGTTTAGAATCCTGTTACTACAAAAATTATATTAACAGCAACAGAAAAAAAACACTGCAATTCAAGAAGCTTGTAAGAGTAACCTTCCCCAGACTTTCCCGTCTGGCCCACAGAGGATCTCATGTGAATGTCAAAGAAGCCACAGGCTGACTGTTCCCTAGATGCAGGCAAGTCAACCTGGGCACATCTCCAGCCCATCCCTCTGGCCCAGTCCAGCTGCTGCGGTGCCGTCCAAAGATGTGGCCCTGGGTGTCCAGAAGGCCAGAGCAGCAGACACAGCAACAAGCCTCTGGACTTGCCTCTCATCACACTGCAGCCAGTGTGAAAAAATATATACTTCTAGATTTCTTCTGAAATACCTGCTTGCTGTTTCCCAGAAACTAAGTTTCAATACACTTAAAGATGTTCTGGTAATCTCTCCAAAATACTCTGTGAAAAGGCTGCTTTTGGACATTTCACAGGTTACCTCTTGCCTATTGATCAATTCTCTACTATGTTTACAAACTCAGTGCATGCCTCTAACCTGGCGGTCAGGAGAGGCATCAACAAGCTGATGTCCCCCAGTTGAACTATGAATTCTAAGGCCTTTATTTATAACAAAATAGTTTTGTTTTCGAATTATGCTCAAATGCTGCTTATGTTATAAGCAAGCACATACTTTTCCGGCAGTAAAAGTGGGCATGGAAGAAAACAGTGTGGTGGTTCCTCAAAAAGTTAAACACAGAATCACCATACAACCCAGCATTTCTACTTGTAGGTATACATCCAAAAGAACTGAAAACAGGTATTCAATACATGTACACATATGTTCACAGAAGCACTACTCACAACAGCCGAAAGGTGGCAACAGCCCAAATGTCCGTCAACAGATGAATGGATAAACAAAACGTGGCACCACACACAATGGAGTCTTATTCATCCATAAAGAGGAGTGATGTACCCATACACATACAACATGGATGACCCTCGGAAACATTACGCCACGCGAAGAAGCCAGACACAAAAGGCCACATATTGTATGATTCTGTTTATGCGAAACATCCAGAACACGCAAATCCACGGAGACAGGACGCAGTAGCTGCCAGGGGCTGTGTGTGCTGCACAACCGCTCGACGCACACAGGGATGGATACTTCTGGGGTGACAAAAATGTTCTGCAGTCAGGTAGAGGCAGTGGCTGCACAAATGTTCTGCAGTCAGGTAGAGGCAGTGGCTGTGAATTACTAAAATGCCACTGAATTGTTCACTTTAAAATGGTTTTGTTATATGACGTTTACCTCGGGGCGGGGGCAAGAATAGGTGCTGTTAAAGGTACTTGAAAAAACCAAACCGAACCAGTGGGTGTGGAAGACGTTGGAGACGGGGGCAAACTACGGCTCTCGCCCCCACGAACCCTGTGAGCCGGGCTCCCAGGAGTGTACACCCAAGGCTTCATGAAGCCATCAAACTGAAAGCTGGGGAATCTCAACCTTGGCACAACTGACTTTTTTTTTTACATTTATTATTTTATTTTATTTATTTATTTATTTATTATCTTTGGCTGCGCTGGGTCTTCGTGGCTGCGCATGGACTTTCTCTAGTTGCAGCGAGCAGGGGCTACTCTTCGTTGCGGTGCGCGGGCTTCTCACTGACGTGGCTTCTCTTGTTGTGGAGCACGGGTTCTAGGCCCGCGGGCTGCAATAGCTGCGGCACGTGGGCTTCAGTAGTTGTGGCTTGCGGGCTCTAGAGCGCAGGCTCAGTAGTTGTGGTGCACGGGCTTAGTTGCTCTGCAGCATGTGGGATCTTCCCGGACCAGGGCTTGAACCCGTGTCCCCTGCATTGGCAGGCGGATTCTTAACCACTGCGCCACCAGGGAAGCCCCACAACTGACACTTTAGAGTGGCTTGTTCTCTGTGGTGGGGGCCGTCCTGTATTCTGTAGGATACTCAGCAGCTGGCCGGCCTCAGCATCCCCTTCCCCAGCTGTGACAACCCCAAATTTCCAGACACCACTAGATGTCCCATGGGGAGAGCAATACTAGTCCCAGGTGAGAGCCACTCCTTTAAGGTAACTGTCACAATCACCCCAATCTCCAAATGTAAATCCTTTCATGTATTTTCCACATCAAGAGACAGACAGAAGAAAGTAAAATAGAAAAGTGTTATCACTGTTTGCTCTAATTCAAAGGCCTAGATTGCCTTGTGGCTCAAGGCATGAAACAAAGTTCAAGCTCTCTATTCTTTGGAAGAGAAGACAGGGAGCTAACTCCCAGAGAGCACTGACCCTCCAGCTCACAGAGGATGCTGAGAGCACCACCAAACCACCTCCCCCTGATTCACATGGACAGCTGTCTGGACTCATTTCTGGCTAAAAATAAGACCCCAGTGGGGTTCTTTTTCTGACTGCCCAGCCCACAGAACCCAGCACAGAGGACAAGACCACTGTCTTAGACAGCAGCACACATTCATGTGATCCTAAACTAGGGGCACCACTTTTATAGAAAATCAGAAAACCAGGGATTTAAAAAACCAAAGGCTACATTTTACAAAGCTACCACACCTACTACAGGCAAGAGGTACAGTGGCAAGTGAGTCCCACCTTTAGACCCCTAAGGGCTGAGCACACTAGACTGAAGAGCCTGGCTGACGGGTTTCCAGGGCCCACAGGGGAGGGGGCAGCGCACGGCCAGACAGTCAGGAGAGAAGACGGTTCTCAGGCGGCAGGCTGGCGGGGGGGACGCTCCACGGTTACTCTGAAGCCCAGCCACGAGGGGTGCTGCTACAGAGTGGAAGTAAGGGGTGGCATGAGTACATGCTGAATTTTTCTCTATTTAACGTTCTTAGAAAGAGACCCAGCTGGAAAGAGAGGTTGGAGGAAGATACAAACATAAAATTCAAGAAAAAGGTACAACCGTTTATAGACCAATTTTTAGTCAAATTTTAAATATGTGAAATAAAATTCAAATCATATATTTAACAGAGTAACAAACAACAACTCTATCATGATTTTTATGAGCAAACCAAACACTTTTAATATTCCAAATAAACAGCGCCTCGCCTACCCCGACACTGCTTTTAGACCATCTTCCTTTGGCCAGTGGCAGCCTCCTGGAAGGAGGGCATGAGCCCTGCATCCCTACCTCTCATCCTCTGTACGCGGTCTGCCTATGCAAACCCGTGCAGCACAAAGCTTCCAGACCACTCCCTCACAGAGGGACCAGACAGCCGCACACCACACCCTCCCTGCCCAGTACTGCCTTCAGGCTGCCTCTGGCTGCACCTCTAACACTAGTCTTTGAAGTCTACCCAATACCTTGGCTTAATTTTAAGTGATGTATGGGTCAAATCCCTTGAACATCCGTTCACTGAACAACTATTTCCATGCCTATAATGTGAGACAGTGTGTTAACGCTGAAAACAACATGTCAACAACCAGGTATGTAAGCCACCTACATGGGTCTTACAGTCTAGTGGAGAAAGCATGAAAAATTATCCTATGAGGTACAGAGAGAAAAAAAGAGAGAGGGACTGTACCAATACAAACTAAGCTATAAAAATCTAGAAGGGCTACTTTCTACAGACCTCCAATTATAAAATAAGACATGGCATGTAATATACAGCATAAGGAATATGGTCAGTAATATCGTGATAGCTTTTGTATGGGGACAGAGGGTTACTAGACTTATCGTGGGGATCATTTCATAACGTATGCAAGCGTCACACCACTACGTACTGCACCTGAAACTAACGTAATATTGTACATCAACGTCCTTCAGTTAAAAGGAAAGGGCTAGTTTCACACAGAGCTGTGTGGTACGGGCACAGTCCTGGAAATGCACGCACAGGCCAGGACCCCAAGGTTCAGAGAGCAGAGCGCTGAAGCAGGTGTGCAGCTGACCCGACCCCGGCTCTGGGGTCAGAGGGAACGGGCCCTGCCCCCAGCCCAGAGAAGCCACTGCACAAAAGCTGGAGTGGACTCTGAGCTATTCTCAGTGGCCAGGGGCACCACAGTCCGCTCAAGGCGCTCAAGAGCCAAGGCAGTTCTATTCCCACGATTTTTTTTTTTTTTTTTTGGCTGTGTTGGGTCTTGGTTGCTGCGCGTGGGCTTTTCTCTAGTTGCGGTAAGCTGGGGCTACTCTTCGTTGCGGTGTGCTTCTCACTGCGGTGGCTTCTCTGGTTGCGGAGCACAGGCTCTAGGCGCACGGTCTTCAGTAGTTATGGCACGCAGGCTCTGCAGTTGTGGCGCACGGGCTTAGTTGCTCCGTGGCATGTGGGCACGTGGGATCTTTCCCGGACCGGGGATCAAACACGTGTTCCCTGCGTTGGCAAGCGGATTCTTAACCACTGCGCCACCAGGAAAGCCATGTTCCCAGGATTTTATTAGGCTAATATCCTTAGAGAAGATTTTAAAAGATAGAATTATTCTGTGTCAAAGATTAGGCACTTTAAGGCTCCTGATAAGATCAACTAAGCCTATGTTTTGATTCAGTACAGTTGTTAATTTAGCAATATTAAATCTCTCTGGGATGAACTTCTTTGTACACACATAATCTAGTATCACGAGATTTTAAATAACAAATACTAGCATTTGTATGAGTACTGTTATTCCAACATTTTTCAAAATCTAAAAACTGAGTCCTCTTGAGATATACCTAGAGAATTCCTTTACTGGGGACATTAAAATTTCAAATCAAGCAAAGGTACACCTGTTGGGAATGATTCCTTCTATATCAACATAA